TGACTGACTTTCGGAGACATTCCTTTAGTTGAGGCCACTATTCACTTGTTATTCTGGAAAAATCATTCATATTTGTATCTCTGAGATGCTTCCATAATTCGATTTGAAATGCGCTCACTGTCCCCGAATTTTTCAGCTTGAGATAGTTTAAGGATCTTGGAGGATGCTATTTTTTGCGAGTTGTCAGTTTTATGCGAATCTTGGCTTGAACTATAGCACTGTTCGATCTATGAAGGTTTCCCATTTTAGCACCGTGATAGGAACTACTATCTAGTACCGAACTCTTCCAACGGCGTATAATCAATCTAAATTCGGAAATATGTATTAGTAATAAAGTTATAATAGAAATATGTATTAGTAATAATAAAGTTTTTGCTCTTTTGCAAAACGTTCTCCATGGACACATTGGGCCTCGATGCTATATTTGCCAATTATCGAGTTCATTGTGGTGGTATCGGGATCTGCACGCGCATTCCAATTTTTCCGGATAATGATTATCACCTTTCAATGAAGTTATTAGTTAATAGTTGAATTTCCTCATAGAACTTATCATTGCCTTGATCATCTGTGTAAATTTGGAGCATATACACTAATAAAATATCGAAATATTGCAGAATTTTACTTTAAAGCGAATCTGGGCCATACGATTGTTTGCTGGCTTCCACTCAATCAAAACGAATAGGCTTCTTCAAATATGATAATCACTATGTTATTTCGCCTCGAGTTATCCGAAACACCATAAAGCCAGCATCTTTACTCAGAGTCAGCAATTGCTCGAGGCCCGAAGGACATGAACCTTCGGCAAGCAAGCGATATCCACATGACACTTAGAAAGAGTATGGACAGTGATCGCTTGGCTTGCAACATCCGTAAGCGTTCTGACCTTCCACGCTGATAAGGCTAATATCCATGCAGTGTGTGCGGAGAACCGTTCCTCTTGGTAGGTTTCAAGTAGTTATCGTGGTTTGCGAAATTCTTACCATATCAGGCTCTTTCATCATAGAGTCACTTTGCGATAGAGTTGTAGGTGGATTCCCAGCAGCCACCTGGATTTTTGGCAATATGACAATTTTACTGCTGTTGATATTGAAAATAAAATAGAAAAATTAAGAATTAGATCAAAGGGAAAATAAATTTAAAGAAAGAAAGAAAAAACAAATTATTTAAATTATTTAAAAACAAATTTACAAATTATTTAAATTGTCGAAACGTAGCATTTTCGAGAAATATTAAGTTGTCAATATTTATAATTATATTTAAATTATATTTATAATTATAAATAATAATAATTTATAATAATTTTTACTAATCTTAGCGGAACAGTTAATAGACTCGACGACTCATAAACGATTCTTAACGTAAAGAAAAGATAGAATAATTAATTTGATTTCTTCCACAAAAACTTAATTTTTGGTTTATTCATATTTGAGGGATCAATAATTCTGAAAAGTTCCACGAGTAATGATCAACAGTTTATGTTGTGTCAATTGTTGCGCCTCGTTTCCCCTGTTGGTGATTGGGCAGCACCATTATTACATTCATATATCGGTCCTAGTTCAATTGATGAGCGTTTTATCATTGATCATTGCTTAGCTATGCTCAGTATATTATGTGCTCCCGTTCGGTATGTTTTTTTAATGATTTTCGTCACTTTGCATTTAAAATTGTAGCATTGATCATTTTTTTAAAACTTGTTTGCTGTATTAGGCTGAATATTATTTACCGTTCTTTTTTAAATTTTGTGGCAAGATTTGATATTTTTTGTGTTTCATTGGTTTTCAAAATGAATGTTTAGTGCACGCGAGGATTTCCTGGAACGAATAATTAAAAATGAGAATGATGATAATTCTTGGGCCATAATCAGTGATACTTTAGATGAAGTAAGTTTATTATTGATGCGAAATTGGATAATTTTTCCTATTATTTTAATTTTCCGATTGTTTTAATTTAATTTAATTTTTTAATAATTTAATATTAATTTAATTTTAATTTTGAACATATTTGCATTGGTTTTATAATTTTTAGGATGAAGTTTCAGTGGTCACTATTGGAGAAGATGATTTAATCTCCTTTTTAAATCAATTTCCAATAGAGTCATTATTGGCCAAAGCCATCCAACATTTTGTCGTTGCGAAAAGTATTTTTTACTTTTAAATATATCGATACGAAAAAAAAATAGTTCCATTATATACAATTATGCGAATTTTTTATAGAATCTGATCCTGTAGCTCAAACAATTTCTCTTATTGCGTTCGAACTTGTTCTTCTCAAAACCTTCAATGATGGGCTTCGGACATATGGTCGTCCTCAGTATCGTCAATTCTGCAAACGTATTGGTCATGCTATGCGCCAAAGCATCAAGTTCTTATTTTTTTATTTTCAAATTATCTTTTGATAAATTAACTGGGATTAACTGGTTTTAATTCAGAAAATTTTGTTTTGCAGATATTTATCAGGATTTATTAAGTCTGTACGACCTTCTTTATCAGAAAAAGATTGGTTGGTGATTGAACGAGAATTTGACCGGGTAGTTTTGCACGCTGTATATTATATTATTGGGAAAAAAAGGTAATTATTATAATGTAACGAATGTTCTTTTTTAAGCAGATTTTTTTACGCACGTAAACATTATTTTTTCGGAATGATATCTTTAGTTATTTGAAGAGAAGCTGAATAATTATAAAACAGTGGTTCTTAAACCAGTGGTCGTGAAATATTCCAATATTTCGCTACTGTTTTTTTTTGCTTAAAATGCGTTGGTTCAATTTTAAAAATTTTAATAATTATAGTTGTAAATATAATGTATATATAATGTAAAAGAATTAATGAATCTTTATAGTTTATAGCGCGTCCTTTATAACTGGATACGCCAATGCATTACGAAATGCATTACATTTACATGTATTAGTGAATGGGATATATTGCTCATTTAGTAACTAGAATGCAGAAAATTTTTGTTTTTGTTTCGCCTCGCGAACAATTGTTAATTGTTTGATGATTACCAAACCTTTTCGTTAATTAATGTTTTTTAATGTAAAAAGTTCTCTATGATTAAAGAAATGGAATGGCGCTGCGGTCAAGCAAATTTTTAAATGTCTTCCAAAAAATCCCTCAAGTTAATATTAATAAAAAACATTAAGCGTGAACATGAATTTAATAATGAGGACACAAACATAAAAATAGTAGTGAGAATATGAGGAAACGAAAATTTAAATATTTTCAAGAAAATAAGCGACTATTTCAAATACTTTGTGGGAATAGATTTTTCATTAAAAGTTGCTTATTTTCGAGAATTTAAATGCTTTAAATCTCAGCTCGGCAACATGCATATATTGAAATTGGTCTGGAAGATTCAGCTTTTAGGAAAAAATTACAAGTATGGAGAATAAAAATAAGAACGGAAATAAAGTTTCTCTTTTTTTTACAGTAATCTATTACCTTCAATAAGTTAATTTCTCTCGAAATATAAAATTTGAAAAGTATCTGTCTTAGCTTTTCAACTGCATTAAAAAGTACTTTCAAGGAGAAAATATTTCTGCTAAAAAAGAAAATCTAATGAGTTGCCTTGTGATAATACACTGAATATAGAATTTAGTAGCCTGAAACATAGGTGGATTCTGGTCATTATTAAAAGATGGATATCCGCTTATAAGTCATAAAGCGATTTTTTTATGCGAAACTGGGTTATTAACAATTGCGTAAAATGAAGGTTTGTGACCATGATTTTTATTTTTAGTCTTGGTTTATGGCAATTTCTGGTTGATTTTCCATACAATTTATTGAGCGAAAAGTGCAAATTAAGATGCCAACTTCTATTACGACAAAATTCAATGACCATAAATGATTTGTATGAAATTCCTCTTCAAAATGTTATTCGTTTAATTCAGTCAGGTATCTTTTCGTAAATTTAAATATTTTTTTGACTCGTTCTTCAGTTGAAAATTGTTGTTTATTAGAAAAATTGTCCGAAAGATTTGCGCTAATGAAAACAAAGGAGGATAATACTTACATGATTAGTGTTTTGGCCGCCGTTGTGTCATCATCAGAAATTGGAATCGATTCTTTTATAAATGAAATATTCCAGGTGTTTTTGAATATTAAAATAATAATCGAATTGCTTTGATGGAAACCATTTTTCACAAAATTTTTTTCTATTTTTTAGAATTTATAAATTAATCATTTTTTGGCTATAAAAGTAACAACTGTTATAAATAATTAAAACAATAAAAAATTAATGAAATCCCACATCACTTATAAATTGTATTGTTTGTATGGTTAGGTATGTTTTCTCGATGAAGTGACTCGTAACGAATTTTATAAAGTTGGTTCTGAAGCAATCGGCATACTTTTAGATAGGAAGCCAGATTTAATCCAGAAAATTTTACTTCTCATTGATCGAAATTTGGATAGATTAGATCAGGTATTTTCTTTGGCTGAAATTGAATCATGTTCTTATAAAAAACGACATTTTTTTTAAAATAGATTTTATAGCATGCAGTTGAAGTCCTGTCTACTTCACCTTTGTCGAAGTGCAGGCTTTCTGAAGATGATATTGGAACTATTTGTGGGAAATGGTTGATTAATAGAAATCCAGACCATCCTGGATCTAGGATTGCGAGGTTAATTTTTTTATTTTTTTTTTATTTAAAACGTTGATTCTTTGACGGAAGATAATGGGAAGAGTAATTCAAATAATTAACAAGTAATTCAAAAGGCCTTCTTCCAGAAGCATTTGCCATTTCTGATTTGCTGGACCTCATTGATAACTAAAGCGAGATTCTTTCACTTAAGAGTTCTTGAAGATCGGAATACTGGGTCTCCAATGCTGCCGTGATTTTACTTTAAAATCTGCTCCATTAAGAGACAAGGATCAAATGTCTGATCTTAGTCGAAACAACATACTACTCGAGCATTTGGGCCTCTGAAAAGTAAAACCAGATTTTTTTTCTAATGCACCTACACTTTCCAGACGGATTTTGAGTTCGCTAAATTGGGGAACTTTAGCGACTGGCGAATTGTGGTTAAATGCATCCATACATTCAATATGTGCTGAAACAATTGTGAAAGGACATTTAGCTCAATGTAAAAATACAAATAGCTTAATAGCGAAATCCATTAATAAAGTTGCTAAACTGGCTTCAAAGCTTCCTGACTACGAGCAACAGTTCAATTTTTTCTGTTGGGATATTCTGTTCAGGCTCAAATTGTCCCCTGAAGTAAGTTATGCTGAAGTTATTTTTGGTGGAACTTAATGCAAGAAAGCAATTAACTATTGTCAAATTGTAATAATGTTTAAGTACTGTATAGTTTTTTAGAGTATAGAAATTCCACCAGTCAACGATCTGATGTCTTATTTTTTGTATATTCTTCGGCACACTTTATACAGGTAATTTTTCTGGCAAAAACTTGCTCATTTCTCTTCTATTTTTAATATAATTGCTTTTGCGATGAAATCATTCATTCATGTTTTATATTTCCATGTCACTGTTTTTAGTTTTCTTTTTTTAGTGCGAATACTTTTTTGACGAAAGGTTTATCACGTTGGATTGATCTGGTTACGGCAGGCTGTTATTCAGCTGCAGGAATTATCCTGATTCGATTCATTGTGAATTGTCCCAGTGCAGTCGATACAGTTTTGCAGAATCCGAGGTTCCGTGTTGTACCATTCTTTCATTCATAGGATACTTTGATAATAAATTTTTCATAATTTCTTCTATTAGATTTCTTTTAATTTCCCATATTTTTCGAGAAGTGTACTCACATTTTAACTGGATTATTTTCAAAAAACAACTTTGCAAAGCTATATTTCATTAAAATGTTCTCTATTTTAATTTTTACAGTTTTGTTCAAAACTTGGATAGAATATTGCATTGTGATGAACCATCATATGCTATGCATTTGTTTTCATTTTCTGGTGATGGGTTTCCAGGGCCTTCTTTAAGGTTGTTGGGCTTTGCAATAATGGTATTAATCATTCTTTTTTTTAGGCTAAAAAGGTTGTGATGATTCAGTGGTAGAGATATTTATAGGTTCATTTTTTTTCAGCATCATCTTTCTGAAGATTTCACCGAAAAGCAACTAGTAGCATGGGTGAAACTTATGTGTTACAAGAAAATTCTTGAATGGAATAACGACAAAAGCATCCTTTATTTACTTGGCGTAATTACTGAAATTGTATTTGCAACAAATGAAGGCTATTTTAATTTATTAATTGAGCTTCTAAAGAACTTTTATACGTCTTCAATCCAGGTATTTCGACGTTTCATTTATATCAATTTGATGGTTGCCTTTGATCAGATGATTTATTTAAAAATCAATATAATTTTACAAATTACAAATCCATATAATTTTAAAAATCAGTATTTTACACTATAGGTGCAAAATCGAGAATAAGGGTTTTGAGCGTGTAACCCATTTTTGGTAGGTGGTTTATTTTAAATTCACTATTTGGTAAAATATTTTGATATTTTGAGGAAACCGATAACCAGTTTTCTGAATGCGGTAAAAAGCTATAACTTTGCAAACCGCTTCGTGTTCGCGGTTCAGAATATTTATTTCTTTAGTTCCTTAGACGAAGCGTATAGCATTATTATTATTTTATTAAGATTTTATTTCTTATTTTTTTCTCATGTTTATTTCTCATTTTGGTTTTCACTTCCATTTTGCATTAATGCATAGCTAAAGATTGAAGCGGAAGGAAGAGGAGACAAAGTTGAGTTTTACAATTCTCAATAACGTCCATAATTCGATCGATGATTTTTATAATTTATGGTATTTAATTAAAAAAAAGAATTGTAAAGATTTAATAACATTCTAAATGAGAGATTTTGAAAATGGGTGGTAAATTAAGGGGCTATAAAAGATGATGTGGTGAGAATGAAAGAGCGGTGACTATTTTCTTTGCTAAAAAACGACTTGGAAAGAGCTTTCTCAATTTGGTTGCAATTTTTATATATTTGTCTTGCAGGAATGGAAAAATACTTCAAAAGGAGTACTATCGTGGTTGAGTGGTGGTCAGAATCCTCCATCTTTGATTGAAACAGGTTCTTTTCTTGTTTCTCCATGGGCTACTTATCTTTTGCTCCGAGTTGAGCAAAAATGTTTTGAAACTTTTTATGATGCATTATACGCATCTCTTCGTAAGTATCAAAACTATACGCTGGAACAGGCCGTTAAGGTACGTTTCGTATTATACGATTTATTTTTTACTTGGTAAACTTGGCCATTTTTTAATATTTTTAATATTTTAGATTTTTTGAAGGTTCTTTTGCAGAAAGCAGCAATTAAATCGCATTTTCCCTTGTCGCTTTGTCAGCTACATTTCTATCGTTGGCTTGAATTTTGTGTTACACGACCTGTTGAGCAACATTTAGTGTTTCCTCTAGCATGTCAGCAGTTAATAAATCATATTTTTCGCCATAATTATCCTGGGTTGGTTTTAGCTATCTTTTTTCTATCCAAGTAAGCATTTGATCAAGAAAATTTGACATTGATCTTTATTTTTCTCCTAATTTCAATTTTTTGGTCTTTTTATTTAATTCAATTGTCTGTCATTCTATTTGCTTCTCAATGGAAAAATCATTCACGAATCCAAATCCAAATTCCCAGATCATTATCTTTAGAAGAAAATTATCTTCCTCATCCAATAAAACAGTAAATTCATAAATCATAAAATCATAGGGCAAGTGAATGCTTTGGTGATCGTTATACAGCTTACGGTGATTCGTTGATCAAAATACTAATTTCTTCTGTTTTGCCCGATGCAGAAAATAAATCTGATTTGAAAAGTGCGATCTTTTATAAGGTAATTTTTGATTTCATGAAAACTGCGTTATTTTTTAGGGTAGAACATCATATTTTTTTCAAGCTTAAATGATTTTTTTACTTAAAGGCCATTTGTCAATGGTTATCTAACGCGAAATTATATGATATTAATTTTTGCGCGTATAAAGAGATTGTTCTTGGCGATTTGTTTCTTGAAGCAACATCCAGTGATTTGGTTTGAATTTTTTTGATTAACTGGTTGTCCACTTTGCCAGTTTTTATTCTCCATTAAATTTTGATCATTGTTATTATCCAAAAATTATATTCATTTATAAATATTTTATTTCTATTTGCTAAATATTTTAAGTAATGCTTTGTATTAAGTTTGCATTCCTAATATTTTAATATTTAATACTTTTTCCTAAGATATAGTTATTTTGTTTAGGATAGTAGTGCTTGGTTACAATACATAAATATGGGTAATATGCGCAAAATTATTGATGATGGAAAAAAAGTGAGGAAGATCCAGAATTATATTTTTTTCAATTTGGAATTATAATTTTACTTTTCTTTTGTAGAGGGTCTTGCCAGGGATTTTTTTTCATTACATTATTCATATGCTTGGTTATATTCATAGATGTGCTGGGTTTTTTTTCATAAGCGGAATTTTTGGAATCTTCTTCTTCTAACAACTCTTACCATTTTACTGGTTAGGCTGGCTTCAAGGGCTACAAGGGTAAGACGCTTCTAACCGGCGCGATCTGATGCCATCGTCGATAGTAATAGAAGCCATTCCTTTTTCCATCGTCTAAGTCAATATATTTGCTTGTTCACGATCAAAATTTTTTTTTTCTTGTTCAGGACCGGGAAATTTATTTTGATTTTTCATTGCATATTTTATTTTTTACTATATTCATTTCATTACAGGCATATCAGCTCACTTGTCACATTGGCTCAGCCGTTAGCAATGCTTTACTTACAAAAAGGGATGATAATATTTTTGAAATTGTGTCGCAGTCATATATTTGCAACTCTGCTTTAAGGCCTCCAGTCGAACCATCTTATCTTTCAATGCCAAATGATATTCCCAGTCATTTATCAAATAATTTTGACAATAATGCCTATATTTTAAGTCTTTATAGTCCATTGCTAAATAAAATCAACGAAGCAGCCAGGTATTTTTGATTTAGCAAAAAATGCAAACATGCGATAGTATGAAATTCCAGTTTTATTATTATTATTTTTAATCCAAAAAATAAATTTCAGAGAATTTATATCAACAAAAGATGAGCTAGAATTGCTGGATGATTTGTATCTGAATAAATATTCGCTTCTATATTCCGAATATACTTTAGAAATTCCGGTAGTGCTGCGTTGTAGCAACACATTTACTAATAAATGTTCTCACCCAGTCAATATCACTGCTACGGTTGTATCGAATAAACTTGATGTAAGTTTATTAAATTTTAGTCGTTCCATTCATCATCATAAGCAGTCGTCATGGTTGGATTGTCTTTTTCCATTCTGCATCAGAGTTATTAGATTTAATAGGATGATTATTTCCATAATTTTGTCGCACGACCTTATAAACACCTTGCTAAATCTTCCTCGTTTCCCTTTTTCATCCATAAAAATATTTCTTTTTCTTATGAATTGTTTCTGCTCATTATCTGACCAAAATATCTGATATTATGTGTTTAAACTGGTTATTTTTTCATTTATTTATTCTATGTTCTAGCCTTGCTGGCCGTGTTTTATTGGAAATCTTCATTTCTATAATTTAAAAAGATCTAGTATCTTTTTTCATCCAGTTCTCGCATCCTTATAAAATCTTTGGCGACATTCTTGAAATTTTTTATGATTTTTCAAATCTTACTCATTTTCAATTTCTTGATTTTTTCAATTTTTTTCAATTTTTTTCTGCTGTGAGCATCGTCTTGATTTCTTCGTTATTAAATTACTATTCATTAACACTTTAAGAAATTGAAATTGATTGAAAAATAGTCTGCATTATTGACTGTCTTCAGATGCAGATATTTTCTTTGGTCATCGCCTTTGTTTTCTTAATGTTCAGGCGCATGACTAATCTTTCATTTTCCTTCTTTCTTCAAAGTTTGAAGGTCATCTTCACTGACCGCTGTGAGAGCTGCATAGAAGCCAATAATTTCTTCGTTTAACCCTATTTATCTTTCCTGTAAGAAGACAACAAACATCTTTGTCTGTCCTCTGAATGTTAATATGTGAATCGTATTCAGTTCTAATTTTTTCATATATAAATTTTTTGAGATGTGTGATATATACTTCTGGTACCTTGCCTCGTTCGTTGTACATAAATTTAGTGTGGTTAATGTTGTCGGATGCTTTTTGTAGTCTGTGAAATATGTTGAGACTTTTTCCTGATATTCATTTATTCTTCCGTTACTCATCCGATGTAAAAAATGAGATCTTAGGTGCCGCATTGTTTTCAAATCGAATCCAGTTTGCGCTCCCTCTAGTTCTTTCTAAATACGGTTCACTTCTTTCTGAATGGCTTCAAGTACCATAAGTATCATTTTATATTAGTGCGGTTGTACGAAAATTTTCTGTTGTTTCTGTTTTTGCATATTGGGAATGTGGAAGATTTCTGGCAGTTTTTAGACCGCTTCATGTTGTCCATATGCGTTGGCAATCGTTTTACTATAGAATTGTTAATTTTTACCTATTGCCTTAAGAGCTAAAACAGTTAATATTAAGACGCAGCAATAGTCTTGGGAATTAATATTAATATTACAATCACTATTAAGATTAAGCAGTAGCCGGTCTTTCTTACGTTTTATTGATTTGCTTTTCGAAAGCAGAAAGACTATATCGATTGGTAAGGTTTAATATTCAGTTTTCCGAAGTTTTTAGACTGCAGTCCAAGCTAAGATGGATGTTAACCGGCAACAGAGATCAAATAAATTGGCTGCTGTTGTATCAAAATTATTGGAGCCTACAGCCAATTACTGTGCTCGACTTGAGTCGATTGTTATGTTAGTGTTTTGTTCTTGCTCTTTAACAAGTTTTCATTATTATCTCGGGTTTCACTATTAGATTACGTTAGATTATTGAGAGACAAGGGTTTGGATCCGGACATGAATGAAATTTGTCATTTAAAAAATGGTTGATACTAGTGGTACTTCTATCACCAAATGCGTTGGCAAAAGTTTTCAACCGTACTGTCAATCAACTAGAACCAATACTGACGTTTATATGCTGAATTAGCTGAACCGATAATGCAAGCTAAAAACTCTTATTTTGTTATTTTACGTTATGTTTTGCTCATTAATTCGTTTTTTCTGAAAAATTTTATAATTTTAGGACTCTGAATTGTATGTTTAAAACATTAGCTCCAGCTGTTGGTTCGCGAATTGAGCGTTCTGGTTGCACTCTTTTTTTTTATACTGCTTCAAATATTTCCTCACTAGAAATGCTTTTTCCGGCTTCATTATCGACTTATTCATTCGCCTTAAGCAAACTTGGTGAAGTAAGAATTTAATACTTTTTATGCTAGATATCTTAAATTTTAAAATTAATTTTAATAATATATTGCATAAGAAATTTCCACTTCGTAAGGTTTTAATTAATTTATTTCACTTTTTTAAATTTAATTTTATTGCTTTTATTTGCTTAATGATTTGTTACAACTTCTAAATCAAATCAAGCATGAATGTTGGGTGAATTTTGTTGGACTGGATTTATTTTCATAAAATATTTCAGGCATATATTGCTAACAGACCAAGTGAGCAAAATGATTTAATGAATTTGGCATTGGATAAATCGCATTTGGCTCATCTTCTTGTAACTCATTTTACTCCTCAGTGCGTACCTTCATCCGAATTACTGGAATTGTATTGTGCATTGAATCATGCTGTGCGAATTCCATCATCTTCATCAACGGCATTAGCATTACTTTCTCAACTTGATATTCAAAACACGAGTGATAGGTTGGTGAAATAAATTTAATTGGCTCATTAATTTGCATTTTTCTTTTGACAGCTCATTCTCTTATGTATTTCTTCTCTTAAGGCTTCCACCTGATCAATTTTCACGATTAATGCCTGTGGCTTTTGAGACATTAGTTTCTTTGGATGGTTCACCTTCGCCTCTTCTCGACTTATGTGCGAAGCATTTCATTCATTCACTTTTCTATCATTTTCCAGATAATTTTATCGATGGTTTTAAGATTGTTTTAGGAGGTAATTTTTTTCATTTTTTCATTTTATTTTGGTGGAATTTGGTGGAAATTCCAGGTGGAATTTTTTAATAAATTTCCCACTGATTTGGCTTTTTGAGTATCCTTTCATTCGCTGCAAAAAAATTTTCTAATTAAGTTCCGCACTAGCTGTTTGCTTATTTTCTGCTTATTTTCTCATAATTTTTTCAATTAATTCTTTTTTTCCTTTTAATTTTGACGCATTTTATTTGACATTTTTCAACTAATAAGCAAATAATTGATAATTTTGGTAAAAATTAATTCAAAATTTAAAATTTTTTGTATTTTATTTGTTGATGTTGCTGAATATAAATATTAATGTTATGAAGAAATTCAACTGCTTGATATATTATTTTATTATAATATATGTTTTTTCATATATTTCAGCTTGTAATACGGGTAAAGTTCCAACTGCAATTTTTGAATCAATTATCTCTAATTTGAGTGCATTTACTATCGATCCACCAGAAACCAAAACTGATTTTATTCTCTCAGCATCAACGGTTAGTGGTAATTTGGTAATTTTATATGACTTTCAATTTGATAATATCATTTCAATCTGTTTAATTTTGTTTTGAAATTAAAATTACAAGATAATAGTTGCAAGTGAATTTATCCTCAGTTTTACAGGCGACTTCTTTAAATTCTTTGCTTTCGTCACAATTTATGAAATCTCGAAGAGAATTGTCAACTCGTTTATTTTCTTTTTGGTCCGTATATTTGCCTAATCTTATGGTTCTTGCTGAATTTTCACTCTCTGTTTCAACATTTTCAAGTTTTTCTTCAGAGCAGTCTGTTTCGCAAATGGAAAGTGGTATAAATCATTTTATAACTTTTATTTTATTTATTTATCTTCTAGTTTTTTAAATATTTTTAATTTGATGTAATTTGGTAATTTGATATTGAAAAATTTATTTAAAGCATCATTTTTTAAAAATCTTTTTCTGGCAAGAAAATTAGCTATCAATAAATAGTACTTACAGATTTAAGGAAAGCTTTTGAAAATTGTACATTGATATTTGGTCCATTAATTGAACCATTTGATAGCGGTTTGCCTCCATGGAATCCAGCCGATGCAGATGGCGCCAACAATGTCTTAAAACATTTCATTTCTTTCTTAAATCGTTTACACTTGGCTTATGATGCCTTTCTTCCACCTGGATCTGAAAATCTTGAAACGCTTTTGTGGCAGTATTATGCTTTAAGAATTGCTACTTTAAAGCAAGGTGGTCTTCATGTACATAAATTAATGGTAAATTTAAATATTTTTTGATATTTGGGTGTGGAAAAAAAGAGCGGAGTAATATGTTAATATGTTAATTTAAATTGGTCGGGCCATCATAGATTCGATTTCTGCCCCTTTCGCGAGAGTAAATCCACTATTAAAAATAAAACCTGTTGCTGAATATTGCTCAAACGACTTTTTGGATCAGTACTTTTGCCATAATAATCAATGAAATTACTCATCCCAATAAGTGGCGTTTGAAGAAGATGCAAGATGAAGAAGAAAAAATTTTAAATTTTAATTTAAAAATTTTAGAAATGAATAATAATAAAATACATAATTAGCCAGAGAAAATTGTTAAATTGAAAATTACACTTTATCTTAGACATTTTTTATTTTTGATATTTTGATGTTTTTAATATTTAATACTTATTAAAAAATTTTTTTTCATTGTGATGCGCCAATAAAAATACTTTAGAAATTTGGTGAAAGATTTTGCTTGTCTTGCAGTTAGGAGAGCAAAAAATAAATATTAAAGGTGAAATTCAGAATAGAGCAAAAGTATTTAGCGAATGCTGAACATCGAAGAAATATTTATATTTACAGGAGGCTCACCTTTTACGGATGTCATGGAACTTATTTTGGCCAAATCTTAGTGATCTGTTATTGATGAATAATTTATTAAAAGAAGGTGCTGTGGAATGTGCGACATTTATAACTCAGATTATTGTGCGAATTCCTTGGATTCCATTAACCAATAATCAAGTAAAGTGTAAATTTAATTAATAAAAGTTTTTTTGGTGTCTTATTTATTCTTATTACCGTTCATTGCACTTAATTCATGTGATATTGATATTTATTTTTATTCAATCATCTTTGGTTGGAAAAAGCAAAAAATTATTTGTTTCAGATAAATCAACCGTGTGATGCCACTCGTGCTTTTTATGCCCTTTTCTTTTCAATACTTGCCAGTTCCGTCAGCCGATTATCAAATTATGCTGTGGGGATTAGTCACCGTTACTTAAATATCTATAATCAATCTTTTCTTTCCAATCCATTAATCCATTCATCCAATCAATCCATTGGCCCAATTCCAAGGCATTTTGAAAAGCTTTCACTGGTTATTTTGTTGGTTCTTCTTCTAACAGCTCTCACTATTACTAGACTAGCTCCACTGGTTAAAAGGGTAAGTCGTCTCACTGATCCCTCTATACGTTCAAAATCTTTCTTGACTGTATCAGTACAGTTTTAATTGGTCCTCATCGCTTTTGACCCCAAGCATCACAAGGTTTAGCAAATAGCGAAATATGCATCAGTTCTTATGGTGGACAACGAATAACATGCTCTAAACGAAGGCATGATCTATGATATTAATGCTATTTGAGCATTAATGAACGCTATCATGTGCGATCTTGTCCGCTCGATGGATCCTTAAAATATATCTTAGACATAAATGGTCAAAGGCTGATAGGTTCTTAATATCTTCCACTCTCATTGGCCATATTTCGCAGCCATATTACAAAATCAAGAGAATCACATCTATATGGACGAGGATTTTTGTCTTTATGGTGTTTTCGCGACGGTCCCAAAAATGTTTCATCAGCCGAAAACACATTTCTAGCTGTCTAGCTGTCGTTATGCGGATTACAATTTCATCATTTGCCTGGCCATTTGGGATTGGAGTGGATCCAAGATCCTTGAATTCGGTCACTTCTTTAACCGGCAATGAATTGATAAAAATAGGTATTTTATCAGCATCTTGTATATAAGGCGAAAATACTTTCGTTTGATTTATTGATTTTGGGTCCAATTCTCGCTGCAGTTATTTATACATTGTTTAACACTATTTGCATTTCATTATAATTGTCAGCAAAAAGGACTACATCGTCATCTTATTCAAGATATGTGATACTATGCTCTGGTCTGATTTGCAGACCTGTTGAATGCCGCAAGATGCGCATTATTCAGTCTATCGCATAGTTGAATACTGTAGAGAAAAGGAGCCCTGGCGGACAGCAGCTCTTATTTCGAAGCAATCTCTTAGTTCCCCATATACACATATCTGTTCCATGCTGATTAAATGCCTTTATGAGCCGAATGATCTTCTCTGCGGCACCCGTCACATTCCATCATTGTCCATAGCGCTACTCTATCAATTGAATCAAAGACAACTGCAAAATCGATCAAGCAAGTGATAGTGGATTGCTGGTATTTGAAGTGATGTTCCAGCACCCTTTTTAGCGTAAATATCTGGTCTTGTCTTGGTCTGAAACGAGCTTGATTAGCATTCTGCTATTCTTCTGTTGCCATGTTTCTATTTAGCAGAAAGGAAGCGAAAAATTTTCCAGAGATATCTAGCAGGTTGATTCCTCGGTAATTGTCGCTATTCTTTTTCTTCTTAAGAGTCCTCACCATTACTGGTTAAACTCACTCCACTGGCTTGTTGCACTGAGCAATATGCCAGGGAGTCCTTTGGCGATAGAAGTGCACTGAGCAATGCCAGGGAGTCCTTTGGCGATAAAACGGGGAATCAAACAGCACCTGACTATCAGGTGCTTCGGCCGCTCCAAATTGAGCAACAACTCACTGAGCTCAGTTATATCCGGTACAACAGATAGCGTATCGTCGTTATGCCTGAAAAAATTCTTTTCATCTTACGAGGTGATCCTTAATAGCCTTAACAGGTGCCTCAATATCCAGTATCATTTCACTGACCTCCCCAAGTTATAGTTGTTTTGTGAAAAAGGCGAAACAGTTTCCTATTATCACCTTTCCGAATTGCTGTCTCCATTTTCAAGGCCATATCTCTCCAATACCGATTTCTTCTCTGCCGTGCTGCTACGTTGTAATCCTTCGAAGCACCTGATAGTCAGGATCTCCTGACATTCGGGCGTTACCATCTTTTTGGACAATTACTTCTGACAACCAGCTAGCGCATTTTGTAGTATATCATAGCGTGGAAATGGCTGACTTTTTTAGGCATATCTTTAGTTGGGACCAGTATTCATTCGCCTTTCGAGAGATATCATTGACGTTTATTTCACTGAGCTATTTCAATAATGTGGTTCGAAATGCGCTTATCGTTCTCGGATCTTTTAATTTGAAGTAGTTGAAAAATCTTGGGATACCCTGGTTCTTACCACTTGTCAATTTTATACGAATCTTTGCTCGAACCATAATATTTGATCTATGGTGGTTACCAGTTTCAACTCCCGGATAAGAATAATTATCAAGTACAGAATTCTTCTAGCGATGACTGATCAATATAGTCAACCTGATTGGAATATTGGTTGTCCTGAGAATTCTACGTGACTAGATATATTCTCTGATGCCGAAAATATATATTAGTAATAAGCCATAAAGAGCTAAAGTAATAAAGAGCTATGATATTCGGCAAAACGAAGGTGGCGTTCTCCATTGGCACACTGGACCCATATTTACCAATTATTGAATTCATCGTAACGACATCATGATCTACGCGTGCATTCCAGTCTCCTCCGAGTATGACCATGGCATCTTTCGGCAGAGAGTCGATATGAGGAAGATAGACCTCTGACAAACAAGCCATATCCACAGGTATTTAGAAAGGCCGTGGACAATGGTCGCTTGGTTTGCAACATCCATAAGTATTCTGACGTTTCAAGCAGCTGTAGCCACCTCGCTGCTTATAAAATGTTAGCGGATAGATTCTCGTCTCCCTTGACGGGTTTTGAGTAATTATCTCGGTTTGCAAGCATGTGTTTCTATGCTCACGCCTTGGAATTATTTTATTATTACCATCATTACACCTGGCTCGTATATTTATTGCATGTACCACCGGATCATAAGTATCATGCGCCTCGGATGACGCGTACGTCGCGTCAAAGAGTCCTGATTTTTTCACCATAGAATCACTTGAAGATAGAAACAAAGATTGGTCCCCAGCAGCCACTCGGATTTTTGATACCATGGCAGATTTACTCCTATCAAAGACAGAAAATAGAGATAATTAAGTCCGTTAAAAAAATAAAAATTATTTTAAGAAAAAATATTAATCTGATTCGTAAAAGAAGATTGGTTCAGGATATAACTTGTTATTCATTGGTATAGGAATAGACTTATTGAATATTAAATTGGTGTTGAAGAAAGTAGGAATCTTGGTGAGTATATTCTAAACTTTCCTTTTACGAACTTTCCTTTTATTTCTTGTAGGCCTGTAGAGCTACGATGCCAATACTTTTGGATTCACTGATATCTTGTTCGTGGTCTTTCATTGAAAGCGAACAGTTGTCTGCGATATCTTCACGAATCGTATTGTCATTTCCAGCAGATATTGTGGTTGATGCAGATAATGTTTTAATATCTTTTATGACGTAGGCTTTTTAATTTTATTTATGAAAAAATATTCAAATACATGGCAAATAATTCATTATTTATTTATTCAAATAATTTATTCAAATAATTTTATTCGTATCTCCTGTGACATATGCCCATATCATAACTTTATGTTCATTGAAATACGAGATGTTTTTTGTCGAAATTGGTGCCAAATTACTATAACTACTTGAAAAAATTTTGTTCAATCATCTATTTTTAATATTATTTATTATCCTATTAAATAATTTCGCGATTTTTTACAGGCTTTATCGGCGAATTTGCCATTTTTCGGTAGTTCGAAGCAATCAACTATTATCAGTTGATGAAGAATATCAGAAACAAGCAATTTACATACGTACTTATTTAGCCTTAATGTTAAAGAGCTCTGAAAATAACTCGTTGATTAACAAAATTTATGAAGACATTGTCAAAACGGTCCACAATATTGTATTATCTAGAGGTGATTTGTGCTATTTTTCCAAAATTTATTAAATTTAATGGCTATTTTCAGATATCTCATATCTCAGTAGATGTAGGATTTATTTAAAAATTGGATATTTACACATCAATTAAATATATTTTTAAGAGCACTCATTACTGATTACTGGTAGATTCGCTACGCTGGCTTGTGGCACTAGTCAAATATATGCCAGAGAGTTCATTGGCAATAGAAGTACAGATGAGTCACCAGCATCTCCCTCATTTTTGGACAAGTTTACTCCTTTCCGGAGTAGAACCTCAGCATTAACGATCCTTAATGAACAACAACCCACTGAGCCATTCTCCTTTGCTTTCCTTGCTAAGTGGCATCACCGATGAAGCGTGGTGCTTTAGCCGGATTGGAACCAAGCTTCGATTTTCGGTGGCACTTATCGTGCCACTAACCCACCTATGCAACCTAATTAAATATTTATTTAATATGGTAGTACTCATTTTTAATATTTAATGTTAAATATTGGTATTTAGTAATTAAGTTTATATTAAATATGGTAATATTTATTTTTTATTACTTCTACACTTTTCATACTTTCATACTTTCATTTTTCGTTATAGGCGATACAACTTTCAAACCATCCCATCTTGTTCATGAATTGACGTCTTTTTGGCTGGATATCTCGAATCCAAAACTGCGAGGTAAGTTTTTCAGTTTATTCATTTGATCAAATTCAATTTTCGCCTTACCTTAATTTTCTGTAGTTTCTTTAAATTGTGGCTGACTTCTGGTTTTCTTGATTTCATTTTTTTCATTCCGATTTTATCTTATGTCCTGGAACCAAAATGCTAGAATTGAAAGTTTTCCCTGAATTTTGGGTATTTTATAAATATTTACTGACGTAATTTTATTCTTTCCTTTCCTGCAATGGCATTTAATGCTGTTATTTTTTAGTTTTATTCTTATGTTTTTTGCATTTAAGAAATTTATAGAATCGCTGATCTGTGTCCTGTGTAACTGGCTGGAAAACAATATTGAATCTCAGCTCGTGCTTATTCTTATGCAGACTGTGATAAAATCACTTAGTCCTAATTTGATTCCAGTTGGCCTGAGGGTTATTGAAAAGTGTATTACCTGTTATTTTTCTCGTAAGATTTTTTAAAATGCCATTTCGAAGTACCACATCAAATGCCACATCACAAGTTCAGAATAGCTAATTTTTTAGTTTTATTTCTCTCATTCGTTTCTTAACGAATCAATCAAATATAATGGCTTGAAATTTGTAAACATTCAGTCGAGCCTATCTAAAACTCATTTCTAGGAGCTGGTGCATGTAGCAGGAATCTATTAAATGACTGGGCAGTTATACCTAAATCTTGTCATCAATATCTTTTTGCTTTACCAAAGTATTCATTTTTTTCTACATATTATTATTATTATTTAATTCTACATATTATTATAATTATTATTATAATTATTATAATTATAATAATTATAATAATAATAATTTATTATTATTATTATTATTATTATTATTATTATTATTATCATTATTATTATCATTATTATTATCATTATTATTATCATTATTATTATCATTATTATTAAGTATTATTATTATTATTATTAAGTATTATTATTATTATTATTAAGTATTATTATTATTATTATTAAGTATTATTATTATTATTATTAAGTATTATTATTATTATTATTAAGTATTATTATTATTATTATTAAGTATTATTATTATTATTATTAAGTATTATTATTATTATTATTAAGTATTATTATTATTATTATTAAGTATTATTATTATTATTATTAAGTATTATTATTATTATTATTAAGTATTATTATTATTATTAT